TTTCGAGATAGCCTAAGAAATGGATGGCTTGAAGAATCAATAGATAACCTCAAGAAGCAATGTTCTGAAGGACCTTTGGAGAATACATTACAGTGGCTTCAAGGTTCCCTAGAAAGCCTCTTATCTTCTGGAGCACCCAGACCAGTTCTGGAAAAATGGCTTAAAGATACTTTTAAAAACCTTGAGGAGGGAAGTCCTGAAGCATCCAAACAGGATGCAAAAAAATGGCTCGAAATATCTATTAATAACCTCGTAAAAGAAGAACCTGAAGCACCCCATCTAGATACTCAGAAATGGCTTGAAACATCTATTAAAGGCATCCAAGCTTTCAGAGAACAATACTCTAAAGCATCAAAAGCAAGCATAGGAAAGAGTAGGGAGAGAGAAAGTTGCTTAAGGAATGAATGGCTTCAAGCATCTGTGGCGAATCTCCAAAAGCATGGTTCTAACGCATCCAGAATGAATGTGCAACAGTGGCTACAAGCATCTCTGAAAAGTCTCAGACAAGAATCCCCTGAAGAACCCAGAAAGAACCTGGAGGAATGGCTTAAAGAATCCATTAAAAAACTTCAGAAGGAAGGACCTGAAGCATCCAGGCAAGACGTGAATGAGTGGCTGGGTGTATCCATGAATCATCTCCAAGAGGAAGGGCCAGAAACATCCCATCTAAATGTACAAGAATGGCTTGAAGCATCTATGAAAGGTCTGCAGGAGGAAACGCTAAAACAGAAGGTGAAAGAATTCTAAAGCATCTGTGAAAATTTAGAGCAGCCTTTCTCAAATGGGGTTCTATAAGAGGTCGCTAGGGTTTTCATGAGAGATCATGAAAAATACATAATCTTTTAAACTTTGGGCACCATACAATGCTAGCTGTAGATATAATAATTTTATACAGGGGTTCCCTGAGATTTGAAAATTATTTCAAGAGTTCTTCCAGGTAAAAAGGTTGAGAAAGGCTGATATAGAGAGAGAAAGAAAGGTGGAGAGAAATTCAACTAGTGGTTGATCATAAGATAAGAACAGTTTGAATGTAGAGACTCAAGAATACAAAACCCATATCTGAGGAATTAGGAGTAAAACATGTTCTTAAGATTGTCACAGGGCCTATTGCAAATATGTGAAATCTAGGATTTCTTTTTTTAAGTCTCGCATTTCAGAGAATAGTGCTATGTGTTAACAATCTACATATTACTTTTCCTTGGGAAGATTCAGAAGAGTTGCAAAAAAGTATCTGACATTATAGAAGGACAGCTGTGTTAGTCAGGAGGCGTCTGGAAGCACCTTTTCTGACTAACAAATTTAATAAAATTTGCCTTTTAATAATATTTGCTAGTCAGAAAAGGGGCTACCAGATTCCTTCTAAAAGAAGTATCAGAATTTATCTGAGATGCAGTTGGGTGGTAGGCAACCATATGACTTAGAGGTTGTTTGATAATCAAAACCTGAATCCTCAAATTATTTGCTCTTATCATGTAATTTATGCAATGACTCCACAATCAAGATAGTTATTAATGTAATATGTGCCTGAAAATCTATATTCACTTGTTGTTTTCTTTGTTATTGCTTTCAGATTTTAGTGAATAATCTATACAACATCATCTCGTACTGCAGGTACACTTTATTGTAATAAATATAGGCTGTATGAGTAGATTTATTCAATTTGTCTGACTCGAATATACTCAGGCTTGACTTAAAATCCTCTGAGAAAAAGTTTCCTAAAGTTTCACCACAAAGTTTATAAAGTTATAAAGTTAAAATGAGGCAACTGTTCTTGAAAATAAACAAGATTAAAGTCCAAAGGTCCCAATATATACTGTGATTGGTTGCTGGTAACTTCACTGAAGTAGGCAGGACTAAAACTTCAGAGATATGTGTGATTGTTTTCTGAGTGTGAGTAGATATTTCTGTATTTGTATTAAAAAAACTAGGATTAGGAATATAGGAAGTGATAAGCCTATGGGTTCCTAATTTATTTTCTGCTAAATAACAACTAGAAATTATGCCTCCAATTCTCAGTTAATTGCTGTGGTCAATTTCCGGATGGGCTACAAAAAAGACTTTAGGACTTATACACTGCCCACTTCTGCCTTAAATCCTAGTTTTTTAATACTGTAACCCATTGGTCAGTTGCCTATACGTGTTTCCTCATCAGCTTCATACTTCACAGTTCTTCCACTTCTCTTTCCCCAATGTAACTGGCATCCAAAGCAATTTCTCTGAACTTTTGTTCTTTCTGTATTCCCAGAATACTATTCCCTTTTTCCACTGAGTTGAATTTTAATTTACCACATCCAGTCAAGACTGGCAAGTGATTTCTACATACTGCAGAATTCTAACAGACTTGGCAATTTAAATCACAGCTAAGTGATGCTTCCCCTAAGACTCTTGCGTAATCTTTTTGGGACAGGGGGACATATGTGGTCCAAAGCAGGAGAATCAAGAATGATGAAGGAGGACCACCAAGATAATGAATTGTTTTGACACTACTGTGAGGATTTCTGTTCCCTGAGTTTTTGGAGGACTTGTGTAAAGATTTGGGGCCTGTGTCAATAATTTATCCCACAGAAGGGCTATCCTGCTCCCATAGTCAGACTGGCAGAATTAATTGTCCCTTAATCCTAATTGTTGTTGTTGTTCAGTCGTTAAGTCGCGTCCGACTCTTCGTGACCCCATGAACCCTATCGCGCCAGGCCTTCCTGTCCTTCACTGCCTCCCTGAGTTTGCTTAGTTTCATGCTCATTGCTTCAGTGATGCTATCTAACCATCTCACCCTCTGCCGTC